GAGTACTCAATGAACGAGGATCTACTTCTGCGACATGATAAAATTTTCGTGCCTAACTCAGCGGCGGATGTTAAGAAGGACCTCTTATGTAAATTTCATAACACACCACTCGGTGGACATGCAGGTAACCAGAAAACATTCATGAAGATTGCTGAAAATTTCTATTGGCCCAATGTAAGAAAGGACGTTCAAAGGTATATTGCGTCATCTGTCACTTGTCAGCAAGTCAAAGTGCCCACGGAGCGGGCTAGTGGTTTATTACAGCTGCTTCCATGTCCACAAGGAATTTGGGAAGATCTGACTATGGACTTCATCACCACATTACCTAAGTTAGAAGGGTTCAACTGCATCTTCGTAGTGGTGGACAAATACTCCAAAATGGCGCATTTTGGACCACTATTACCTAATCACACCGCACAAGATGTTGCAACACTATTCAGCAACATAGTGGTGAAATTCCATAGATTTCCTAATTCTATTGTGTCTGATCGTGACCCACTCTTCATTAGTAAGCTTTGGTGTAATCTACTGAAATTATGTGGCACACAACTCAAATTTAGTACAACATACCATCCACAAATGGATGGCCAATCAGAGGTCCTTAATCGTTGTCTAGAACAGTATTTGCGTGCCTTTGTTTGTGATCACCCTACTAAATGGCACAAGTTTCTCATATGGGCGGAATACTGGTATAATACGTTGTACCACACAGCCATTAAAATGAGCCCATATGAAGCTGTCTTTGGCAAAACACCACGGCCATAGCCAGGCTATCAAGTAGGCAGTACGATGGTCCACGTGGTGGAAGAAGAGTTAGAACAATGCGAACTAATTCGAAGTTCACTCTCAGAGCACCTCCAACAGGCTTAACAACGCATGAAGACGTTCGTAGACCAACACTGCAAGGAGCATATATTCAAGGTAGGTGACTATGTTTGGCTGCGCACTAAGTTCCATAAGCAACTTACTACAGGGGGGTCATGCCCACCCTAAGCTGGGCAAGAAATATCATGGCCCTTTGCCCATACTGGAGAAGATCGGAGCTGTAGCTTATAAGTTGCTCCTTCCTACTTCAGCTAAGGTGCACCCAGTATTCCATGTGTCACTACTTAAGCCTTATAAGGGTCCAGCAATGCCTCAACAAGGTGACAGGACTATAATAGAGGAATTATCTGAGGAGGCTAATCCTGCTGCCATTTTGGCAAAAAGTACATGGCAGCAACAAGGAGAGTTGATAGTACAAGTTTTGGTTGAATGGAGAATAAGCCAAGAGAGGATGCTACGTGGGAAGACCTTTTGCGATCATGTTTAACTAATATCAACCTTGAGGACAAGGTTGTGGTTGAAGGGGTAACTATTGATACAAATAATGACGCAGGAAACTAACTAGTATAAGCTTATGGGCAGAATTAGATGATCAGAATCAATTAAAATTTTAGAACAAGCAGTTAGTTAGTTGCATCTAATAAGCGAGAAATGCGGAGAGCCTTGCATGGTTTTGTATAAAAGAAGGATCGTTGTCAATGTATAGAGGCATTAATTTAGAAAATAATACAATTGTCTTCTTTGGAGTGAGAGTACTTCATATTTCCTTTCAACATATATCAAATACACTCAAAAGACTATATATATTATTGTTGTAAAAAAATAAAATAAAATTCGCATATTTATAATATATTTTGATCTTTTTCTTTTTTAAGTTTATTAAGGTAAGAATAAGATAAATAACTCATTCTAACTAAATAAATTTTTCTTTTATCCAAAATTTAACAATTTTTTATTTATCTAATAACTTCTTTTATTTTTCTTATTTTTTGCTGTAATTTTTTTTGTTTTAAAATTTAATAACTAATAGAACTTTTTTTTAATACAAAAGTAATAACTTTTTTTCAACTACTTTTTTGTAGCCTCTTCATCTTTTGCTAGAATATATGAAATGATCACATAACAGTACCACTATTAGATCATGCGAATAAATTTAAAAATATACAAGTATACTTAAATATAAGACACAATTCAAAACTTTAACCCTAAATTTTAAAACTTAAAGGTTATTAAACTGTGGGTCATTGTTATTTATATGTTATTCAATTTTTATTTTTGTTTTTATTTAATATATAACTTTTTCACTCATAGTTGCTATCTCTTTATAAGAACTTTTTATTGATTATACTCACTCTCTAACAAAAGTTTTTCAATTTATAACCATAAGTGTTTATGGGAACATATTAGTATTAGAGTTATTATCCATTAAAGCTTCTTTTAACTTGTATTGTTATTAGATCTTATTAATAGAACACATTGTTCACCCTTCACATTGTCCAAAGCTTCAATGAATTTTCACATCAATTCACTGCTAATTTACTTTAATTTTTGTTTGAGCTGACTACTTAGACGAACTACATTCTTATAACTATTAAAAGAAAGAGACAAATTATTTTCATTTGAAACAACTACATGAAAAGAAAAAATAAAAAAAATTCACAATAATTAATGTAATTAAAAATCTTTCGTCTACGTTCACGAGCTCTCAACATAATTTTATTATAAATATTGTTATATAATACAGACAAAATAGGTACAAAACTAAACCAAATGACATAGGTATATATTATTCATTAAATATTAAGTTAAAAAATAACAAAAAATAGAAAATGATAAAAATCTCACAGGCCATGATGTTTTGTGCAACATTCATCAAAATTTTGTAGACTGCATGATAATATTGTTTTATTATTTTATAATCTTTAATTGAATAAAATTATAAAGTCTTATTTATAATTTTTTGACAGACAAAATTATAAGTTTTCATTTAACACACAAGTACTCAAATCTCAAATATATATAATATATATATTGTTACGATGAGTAAAAATAAATAAATACTTATATTTATAATATTTTTCTATCTATAACAAGCTTTACTCCAAGAAAAGTTCGTAGACCTTAAATCAAAACCACACCACTAAATAAGGCAAAGGACTTCAATACCACTTCTATCTAAGTGATGTAAATGACGCTATAGGAGAGAACCTACGTGTAGCTAAAATTATTAAAATTGGTTGTAGTAAATAATTTCATATTTTTTGTATAAATTAGTATAAAAATAAATAATTATATATATATATATATACCTATATTATTATTATTGTTATTATTCCACTCATTTTGTTTTTATTTTTATTTTTTTTCTGGTATTCAAGTTTGCAGTTAGTACTCAGTACTTTTTAACTTTATGGTAAGACAGTGGCTAAAGTTGGACGTGCCCCATGTCAACTAACCTCCTCCTAATCATATAGCCACTCTCGCCCAATGGTACCTTCGCACGAGTTCAGCATTGGTCCAATTAATATTTTGATAAATTTATTTTTTTTATTTGTTCAACAAAAAAGATATATATTAAAAAAATCAAATATATTTTATTAAATATTTTAAATTATTATAAATTATATATGTTAAATATTTTTTATAATTTTAAATGATAAATATTTTTTAATATATTTGTAATTTTCAACTTATTAACACATTTTTAAAAATATGAACAAAAAAATTATTATTAAAGATCTTTGACTACAAACTATAATTATTCAATTAATTTTTTGAATTCATATAAAAAAATCAGTAGGTTAGAAAAGAAATAATCCTAATATATTTGTCAACAATTTTATGTAAAAATGTAAATAATTATTATATGGTTAGAAAAAATTCAAAATTTCATGCTTTTATGTTTCACAAAAGTTATTTCTTATTTTATAGTGATTTTTGATAGATAATTATTAATTCTCTAAATTAGATTATTTATTTAATTTTTATATTATCCTTGATTAATATCATAAATAACACAGTTAAAACATGTTAATTACGCATATAGTCTTGACAATCTTTCCAAATTATAATATCACTTTGAAATATGAGACTTTTTCAATCAGGTTGAATATTCAAATTCAGATTATCGAAGCAGAGCAGATTGAAGAAGCTTTGAAGAAGCTTTGTTGGCAACACTTCATCATCAAATAATTTATAGGCTTTAAAACCATGCACATGATTTTTCTCTTTCAGAAATGACTAAGGACAATCTCTTTATTATTCTTAGATGAAATTTTTCAAAAAGAAATCAAAAGGAGAAAAATAAAGACACCAAGTGTTTTATACATGACAAAAAAGTGTATTTTACTGAAAAATATCCTAACAAAAATTCTAAAGCTTAAAATCTGATAAATTCAAAATTTCATAATCTTATTTCTTACATGATGTTTTTTAAATATAATAAAAAAATTTCTTCTCTTGAAAGAAAAATAGATTCAGTCAGAAAATAATCTCCTATTAAATAATATATCCAGTCTACTAGAATGGATTAATATAAATTATCAGTCTTCTTCAAAATATATATATATATATATTGACATTAAATATATAACCATAATTCAAACAAGATTATCTTTTACTAATAAAAAAAATTATCTGCTTATATATAATCTGAAGGAAGAAATATCACAATTGCTTATTACAATTTACATTAAATGTTTTAGGTGTATAATTTGTGTTTAAAAGCTTAATATCAAAATTTTAAAAGTCTATTAAGTAGATAAAATAAAAGAATATAAAAATAATTTAATTTATTCATGCTATTTATTTAATTAATATAATATAGTAATATTATTTTATAAATATCTTAATATAAAATAAAGATAAAAGTCTAACCGATTATAAGAATTTATTTTGTTATTATATTTGATCATATTTTGCGATGTGGATCCGTAAACAACATGTCTATGCTCCAACTCAAAAAAGTGATTGCGACCCATGGCCCCACAGGCATAGTGGCAAATGACTCAAAAGCCACGGAAGGAACACAGATACAGTTATGGAGGGAAAAAGACAGAAACACCCCCACTAAACATTTAAAGTTACAAGTTCACCCTCGCAAGCTCGTCCATAAATAAGGTTCCCCCACACTGCATTTCTTCCCTTTCTCCCTCTTCTCCTCCACCGCCCCTTAATTAGCAAAAACCCTGTCACTCTGCCCCCAACCATGCTCTCCACACTCCCTCCCTCCGATCTTCTTCTCGGAAACCCGTTCTCCGCCTTTTCCGGCGGTTTCACGCCGTGGGACTGCCACGACATCTTCTCCCCCGCCACCCCCATACCCGTCACCTCAAGCTCCGGTTCAGACGAACCAAACCAAACCCATGAAAAACCCAAACCTGACCCCGACGAACTGGACCGCCACGTGGCATCTGTCATGGACGAGCGAAAACGGCGTCGCATGATATCGAACCGGGAATCGGCCCGAAGGTCGCGGATGCGAAAACAAAGGCACCTAGAGAACCTACGGAACCAGTTGAACAAGTGTAGGATCGAAAACGGGGAACTCAATAACCGTTTACAGTTCGTTGTGCATCACTGTAACCGCGTTCGAACCGAAAACGAATGGCTCCGCTCCGAACGAACCCTTCTGCGCCAAAAAGTCTCCAATTTAACTCAAATTTTGGTTTTCCAACAATTGCAACCTTTCAACCCTCCATGGACATGCAATACTTCCGCCATCGTCACAGAATAAACCTTCTTCATTAATCAAGTAAATTAATCATAATACGGTCTCCGTTAAAATTCTAAGACAAGAACTTGTCTAAGTTGTCGTAATTTCTCTATGTAATTATTAAAAGTTAGATAAAGTTATATAAAGGGTGGAGTTTTTGGGTGCTCTATATTTTTGGGAAAAATAGGAATGGTTTTGGAAAATATTGTTGATTTTTTCAAAACCTATGCGATATCGATTATAATCATATTTCTGTAAAATACTAGCCTTTTATTTTGTTATTCTAGTATATATATTTATGAGTTGATTTTCCAGTTGTTTGTTTCTTCAGAATCACGTCCTAGGGTGAACTATAATTTAGCGTATGTTTAAAGATACATTAAAAAATTTATATACATAAAATTAATGTAATATTATAATTCATAATGCTGAGATTAATGTAATTCTATCATCATTCCAAGGTAAATTTAAGGACACATTTAATTCAATCAAAAGCAAACTTAATCTCACACATATATACACAACTATGGCACTTAATGACAATTTAGTGAACCTACTCGTGGAAAAACGAAAGAAAGAAAGAAGAAGAAAACCTAACTCCCACAATAAAGTATCGATTGATAATGAGTGGCACCTCATATAAAAGGAGGAGTATTCTTATATATGCAAAAACAATTTAATATTTTTATAACTTATTTATTTATTGTTATTTATTCATTTTATTTTTTCCTAATTATAAAATTTATGTATGGATAACAATATTGCCCAAATCGTAGAGTCTTGCGTACTCAATGTTCCGAAGGTCTTAAATTGCATACTTAGACACGCAGTTTGACAACTGTAGTGTATTTAGAAATATGTTTGCATTTTTAGAACTACATAGAATAGATGTAAATGTACTTTGATTATTGTATTGATCTGTTCGATAAATCTGAAATAAAGTTAATTTTACATTTAACAAACGTTTTAAATTATAAATTTTATATTAAAATAAAAAATCATATTAAATTTTATTTTAAACTTATTTAAAAATAGTTCTAAACTTAAATTATATTAATTTAAATTTATTTTCAAATAGTACGAAAAACTAAAATTTTCAAATACACACGTAATAATGTGCGTACATACAATAAAAGTTATGTTTATTGCGTAAAATTAAATATGCGTTTAAGTAGAATAATGGTGACCCCCTTTACAGAAAAATAAAATAAAATAAAATAAAATAAGCGTGAATTCAAACATTCAGACAACCGACTACAATAGTACTTTATAGTTTGTATGGGTTAATACCGTCCTTTTGTTTACTTTTTGGTCTTATGATACAACGCTGAAACATGTTAATAGGTGGCAAAAGGTAGAAGCGAAAATGTTTGGTTAAGCAATGAATTTCAAGTGCTCTCATGTGATAAAGTAATTCAATATAGGAGTTTAATTATTTTTTTTATAATGGAAGAGTTTATAAAAAGAAATAAAAAAATGCGTTCTCATATTATTTATTAAATAAGTTGGACAATAAATAATTGTTTTAAACATATTTTTACATTAATTAACTTACTTTCCCAGTCATGGATTTTTATACACAGCAGTCCAAACCAAAATAAAGATCAACATATTTTTGAAAGTAATATATACGATGAAAATATGTCTATAGCTTTTCATGGGCAACGATTACGTCACTTTCTCAAATCAAACAAAGTACAAACTTAATCCCTCTTTTTCTTTGAAGAGAATCAAGTTGATTGGTTTTGGATTAAGTGCAATTTAGACGGGAACTTCAGCCTATAAAATAATATAAAGTGATTTATGACATTCTGCTAAGGATTTTGATGAACGAAGGGGCACCGGGTTATAATCAAAGACGTAACCCAATCACTGGTCTACAAAACAAAGTGCATTCGTCATTCCAAATTTGATTATCTTACAGTGTATATAATTATTGAGCTCCGTCATTATTTTTTGTCAAAAAAGACTCACCTCATCCCCACCCTCTTTGTATATATATATATATTTTAATCTTCTGTGCAGTCTGCAACGTGTATTCCAGTAACAGATATTCAGTGTGTTAAAAATCTCATATCAACTAATAATACGATCCAAATAATCTTTCTATTACATCAACAATCCTTTTCCTTAAATTAGAATAAAGAAAAATGCCAATATGAATTTATCATTAAGATTATGCTTTATATTTAGGATCATTATGGAGAGGTTCTTTTGGCTCCTGACCTACTTTCAGTCATAATTGATGCAATCCTTAATTCAGTGTCACCAAATAAAAAATTGTACGTGTATACCATTTCCGGTCCATCTTCATTTATCATCTTTCGCATGACTGTAATTCATGTTTTATACGAATCTGACAATTATTTTCATCTGAAACATTGTTTGCCTTGATCAATTTATTCTTTCTATGCATGCAAACACACAAGATTAATCATTATTTGTTTATATACTGTTCCTATTTATATTATCGACGGTAATGCACCGTATACTTATTGATTTATTTTCCTCAAGGTATTTGAAATTTCACAACTTTAGTAATTTTTATATTTTTTCTTAGGATAAGTTAGTCCAATTCAAATAAATATCTCAACAAATATGTATAAAGAAAGTAATAAAATAAAATAAATAAATATTTTATGTAATTGAATTAATTTATGTATCCTAACTTGTGGAACTTTTTTTTTCAATTTCTTTAAAAACTTACATAACTTAATTTTAATATATTTTTTTATAAGCACTTATTAGAAAAATTTTATCTAAATCAACCTACTATTTAAAATCATATTCAACTAAACATCCACCGATAGTTCTTGTTATTAAACGATAATCCAAATGTCTTCACATAAATCCTCAATTTAAAAATAAAACCCGATGCCAAAGACATTCCTTTAATTGAAATAAAGAATTGAACCAGTCACGATCACTGGGGTTAGGTATGGATTACACCCATTTCAAATCATAATCTATCACTCTCAAAAGCTATATAATGACACATTAATGTATTTAATGAACATAATTTTCATTTAAAATTGTAAAAAATATAAATATAAATTAAATAATTATACATAAATAGTGAAAAATAAAAATTAACAGTCATATAAATACTTAAAATATTATATATTTATGATTTTATTTTTACCATTTAATACGATCTAACGTTATATTTATTGTTTTTATTCTTAGAATAACCAAAGTTTGTATATATGATTTCGGGGACAACCTTTTCGAAAGCAATATTTTGAAAGCATGAGTACCTCTATCTTTGTCTTGGCTTGGTCGCGTCTTCACTCTCTTCACTTCCAAGTTACAAACAAAATAACACGAATAATAAAAAGTAATACCGAAATAATTAATACATAATAATATTTCAAAATAAACATAGTGGCCCATAGGCACACTTCATCACGGGTTGGAGGCCAACTTTAAAGCCCAATATTGGCCATGTCACTATCTGCCAATCGAGTGGGTTTTGTATAGCTCACTATTATGGATTTTTACTTTAAATTAATCCGAAAGTTGTTAGTTCACTTTGTCGTTATAGGACTATTACAATGGTAGTGTTGCTTAATAAACCCAAATACATCGCTTTCTACATATTGATTGTGGCATGGAGAGTGCTCTATTAGAAGCACGAATTAGTTCGAAAAGAAATAAAATAATTGATATATCAAGTAAGCATGAAGTAGCACAGTATATATGAAAGCATGTGATTGTGACTCGAAGGGCAGCATCGGGGGAGCCAGACAAATATTTTGTCAACGCAAAGGCCAAATGAAAAGAAATTAAACTAGTAATTTACCAAATTTATAATGAACTTAACTTAAACTGAAAAATAGTAAATAAATTTATGTAACTCATAAAATTAAATAAAAAGTTTAACTTCAGATATTTATTGGTGCAACGCTATTTATCTCTCTGTATATATAGTTTAACTCCAAATATATTTCTTTTTTGTGATAAGATTTATATTTCTGTAGATAGCTGTGGGTGCCACACTATATATTTGCAAGTCCTTAGGGAAAGGCTATGTATAAATGATGAATCAGCCACACACGCGAGCTAGCTAAGAGCAACCCTTAATCATTAGGTCTTACCTTATAGTTTTGAAATCCTCTCTTTAATTTAAAAAACTTGCTTTATTGATTCTGGTTATGATATTCTCTTCAAACAAAGACTATTGTTGACTCGAATATTAGGGGACTAGAAGGAACATGATAAATGTCTACTCAAAGAACTTAGAAAATCAGAGCAATGAGTAAGAAAGGACATAATCAACATACTTCTTGTACTTTATATAAAGCTCTTGCACCGTGAATTTATCCTAATTGTTACACCTTGTTTTATAAAGAAAACCAACCGTTTTCTTTGCTTGATTAGTTCGCACCGCTACTATCAATGGTGCGCTATTATTGGTGCTCAATTTGAGACCACCAAATTTAAAGATTGAATGTCTAAATATTATAAATGTTAAAGCATAAGCCATTGAGAGTGACCACTAATTTTCAGAGTTTACCATCATAATTCAAGTTAACAAAGCAATTCAACAGCCTAAAAGGCATGCTTACATGACTCATGGTAATATATGGGAAAATGGACATGATAATATATGAAGAAAAATATTTCTTTTATCTCATTTCTTTAACACTTACATTATACATTTATATTTTTACACATTTATATTTTTTTATATTTCATCAAAAGTAAAAATACCAATTTAATCTTATTAGAGTAATTTTTTTTTTACTAATTAAAACGGTGCTAATGAGTTGCAACTTTATGTTTTAGCAAAAAAAAAATATTAATTAAATTTTAAAAAATTAAATTAACACAAATTAATCCTATTAGCATATTTAGGTGATAGATTAATTCTCTTAATATCTAAACTAAAATTACATTAGTTCTATTAACATATTAATGATATAATCATCTATCAATTGATTAACTAAGATTTACCTTTAAGTTGTAAATTTAAGAATAATAATAACATAAAAAAACTATTATAATTGACAAATAACATT